GGAAAACAATCTAAAAGCTCTAAAATCAGTGATCTGCATGTAATGAAAATCTTTGGCAAATTAATAACAGTTCCTATTTGATAGTTGCATAAGCCGTGAATTTTAGTATTTTTTAAAAGTATACAAATCTTTTACACTATAATAACAGGACTGCCTATTTTGCTATGATACCATGTATTGCAAAAGCCACTGAAATCAGATTGCATGACTGACTGATTTTCAAACAGGCTAAGATAACTTAGACTATATTTCAAACATTTCCCCTGTGAAATGATATAGAGACACTATTGTACATTTGAAAGCTTTCTCGATTATAATCAGGGAAAAAGATTAGGATTTTAGATGTTATGTAGAATAGACTGCTAGTATATAGTGACTACTTTAAGTGTTGTATTTTGCTATGTGCATTTCACAATAGTAAAATTTTGCTTTTTTGTTTCTGTTTTATGCTTATCAACTTTAAAATTCATAAATAATAAAAAATACAAAATGACCTTACTTGAATTTACTGTTCTATTCAAAAAGTGTTTTGCTAATATAATTCTTGTGATAAATATGAACCTGTGCATTTATCAAATCCCTAAAAAGATTATCTAAATCAACTCCCATGTAATTACCATTCACCATCTGTTCCACCAGGGCTTCAGCTGATCTGCTGGCATCTTGCAGTTTTCTGTACTTCTCAGGCTTTTCTCGGTCTATGGCCTGTAGCATGACAGGAAAGGTGAGTATTTCAGTAGTCAGATTTTGAAGAAAGTAATTAATCCATAGATGTCCTCTAGATACCTTGAGATCTTTTACCCTGTCAAATTCCCCCGCTAACCTCCTGACTTGGCAGCGAAAAGAACAAGCATTGCAAACTTGGTCATACTGTTAGACAGACAACTTCAGGAAAAAGGGCATGAAGTCAAAAATCTCTCTCCACATAAATGCAAGCGTGACAACAAAACTTGAAAAATAATGCATGTAGGCATTCTGAAGACAAACACAAAGGTATCTCTACATAGAACAAGAACTATTCAAAGCCCAGTCTCTGAGAATGAAAAATGTATTTGTTGAACAGGAATTTCAGACTGAAAAATTTAAGATCTGATTCTTCAAGAAGCTGATTGCCCTGAAGTCCCATAGATTTCAAAGTCAGTTAAGGGTACATAGCAGATCACAGGACTGCATGGCAAATTGCAAGATTGATTCCATATACCTTTGGCTTGATTTATTTACTATGTATTGGCCATATTTTCAAATTTTCATGAATAAAATTAGGCATCTAAATCTACACATAGGCAACTAAATAAATGTATGACTGCACTGCAGAGTTAACCTGAACTCCTGCTTGGGTGAAGATCTTAAACTCTCTTATCCATGGTCAGAAACCTCTTGCATGAGTCCAATGGTTCTGGCACTGCTACGTAGGTCTGTGCGAATAGGGAAATATTCGATTTGGACTCGGCCAATTCGGATGCCAGAGATTCGATTCAGAGATCTGAATCATTTTTCTGATTCGATTCAGCTGAATCGATTCGGAAGATTCGGAGCTGATTGGGAGATTTGGCCATAGAGTATAATGGGGATTCAATGAAATATCTATAACTTTGTTGTTCTTTGGATGATTTGGATGAAACTTAGAAGAGTGGTAGCCTCTTCTGAGAGCATGATGCCTGCCAAGATTCAAGGTGATAGGTGTAGGGGTTTCTGGGAAACTGCACCTCAAGCTGCTGACAAGCAAAACTCATGTCACGTGTGTGTTACACCACAGTGGGGTGAAAATGGCAGGAGTAGTAGCTCTTGCTGAGGCCACAAATGCTGCCAAGTTTCAAGGAGATAGGTGCAACGGTTTCTGAGAAACTGCACCTCACACTGCTGACAAGCAAAACTCATGACATAGGAGATACTGTGTGTGTGTTAAGGCAGAGGGGGGTGAAAACTGCAGGCCTGCTAGGGCCTGCTCAGGCCATGAAGCCTGACAGCTGTTAAGGAGATAGGTGCGGGGGAAGTCTGGGTTCTGGGGCCCTGCACTTCTGGCCGCAGGCAGGCAGGCAAAAGTCATGTCATGGGTGTTTGTGGGACTGTGTGTGTGTTCAGGTGCGCCCTTCCTGGCACTGGGGCCCCTGCACAACATGGCAGTGTGACCCCATGAGGCCTCCTCCTTCCCTACAGCCTTGGTCTGGTCCACCACTGTAAACAGCTGGCTCAACACCAATAGCACCAGCAGCATCAAAGGTACCCAGATGGAACTGTCACAGAGCCTTTCTTTTTATAAAGGAATTAACAGCAAGAAGTAAACATGCTGTGTTGGATACATGTTACTCATGGTGTGTGATGGCTTATTTTGTGTTTATATGTTTATTATGAAAAAAAATGAAATAGTTAGAAAAATGCATCTTAGGAAGCTTTTGGGTTGAAACACTCTTTGTCAGGCTGAGGAAGTACGTGCAGTTGGTGTGTCTCCTGGTCCTGGATGGAAGGAATAGTAAAGAAGGCAGAGCCTGGCCTGTCTCACAATGCAGGCAATAAAGCCAGCCTTGAAACTTGGCAGGCTTTGTGGCCTCAGCAAGAGCTACCATTCCTGCAGTTTTCACCCCACTGTGGCTTAACACACACACGTGACATAAATTTTGCTTTCAGGATTTTGAGGTGCAGTTTCCCAGGAACCCCTGCACCTATCACCTTGCAGCTTAGCAGACATCATGCTCTCAGAAGAGGCTATCACTCCTTTCAGTTTTGTCTAAATCAGCCAAAAAACAACAGTTATAGATATTTCACTGATTCCCTATTACACCCTATGGCCGAATCTCTGAATCACCAAATCTTTTCTGAATTGGTTCAGAAACTCCATACCGATTCAGAAAGCCTAAAGCTTCTAACAATTTGATTTGGATTCATAGATTCAGTCTCTGAAGCGTCTGAATCATCTCCAAATCCAAATCACGATCTGAAACTTTGCACAGCCCTAGTTATCAGAAACTAGATTCCACTTTAACCTTCTACTTTGTAGACAAGACAGAAGTCATATCACTCAATGACCTATCATCCTCCATTACCTACCCATCATTTACCCTATCTACCCAGAAGGATAAACTAGTTGCCCCATAGTTCACTAGAAAAACAAAAGTCACAGAGAACATCAGTTTACTAAAGGACCCACAAGCCAGGAAATGTACTCCCAGTAGTCCTAGTGATATAAGAACATTAAAAAAATGAGGACACAGTATTCTGGATAGGATTTTACAGCACAGTCGCTCACAACCTGGCAAGCCTCATCTAGGTTCTTATCATCATTCAGACCAATTTGCTGGTAAGGGCATACCCTAAGTATCCAAAGTACTAAAGATGCTGTGAGCCCTTACAAGTGGCATTTAAGTAAAATAAATCAGTTTACTCATTTAGGTCCTAAGTATGCATTGAGAAACCTTTTTCAAATGCAGAATTTGAAAAGGCTATTATATATGTAGATACTTGTATTTAAAAGATGCATATATAAACACACTATTTTATGATGATGCAGCATTTAAAATATCTTCCTAAAATATTTAAATGCATTTATTTTAATAAAAAGATAAAAGAAACAGTTTGAGTTAAACACATTCAAACTGAATGCCCACACTTTTGTGTTGGAAAGGTAAATAACAACCACCACTGGTGAAGTATTGGCAATAATGTTGAAGAATGCTATAAATTCTGGATTTATTTTTAATTCAAAATTGGTCCTACTTCCAGAGAGCTATCATTCTGAAACAAAATCATTTTAAATTAAAAAGGGTCCATATTTCTTACATAAACACTATCACTGTAAATACATGTCATGTACAGAGTTTTGCAATTTTGGGCATCAAAATTAACATTTCAAATTTTTACAGGAAATAACATTTTGAAGAAGGGAGAAACTGGGCAAAAGAAATTAAATAATTGTAGGCAGAACCCTGATCACACAAATTCCTAAATGACTATAATAAACCAAACAAGCCTTGGAACAGATGTCATACTATACCTTGTATCTGAGACAGAGTCTTACTCTCACATACCCAGGGCCTGCCAATATCTAACTATATATTTAAAGTATATAAATATATCTTTATGTATACATAGCTGTGATATATTAATACCTTTAATGACATTTTAGTAATAAAATATCCTCTAACAATATGACAAAAAATCCTGTAAAAATGTCACCAGTTTAGTTTTCTGTAAGCAACGTATATGGAAAAAAATGAACTGGGAAAATTCATGTTGGGGAATATGTTGGCTTTTATAAGCATACATTTTTATTATATTTTTGTAGACACAGACACATGGGAGATATGAATGAATGAATTAATTAATTAATTAATATTGGCCATATGACGCAGTTTCATGGTTGGAGCAAACTGAGTTTTAGATGACCATGTTTCTCACTTGTGACTGAGGCTGGCCACACATAAAATTTTATTTTGCATCATCATGGGTTTTAAATACATGCCACACATGTTATAGAATCACTAGTGTAGAAATGTTTTAGACAGACAAGGTTCCTTGGGTGAATCTGATATCTTTTATTAGACCAACCCAAATGGTTAGAGAATAGTTATTAAGCAAGCTTTCAGGTTCAAAAACCCTTCGTCAGGCTAAGGAAGTTTCAGCAGTTGGTATGTGCTCTTCCTGGATGCAATGAAAAGTAAAGAAGCCAGTGGCTGGGCTGGTATGCATACAAGACAGGTAGTCAGTGAAAATGTAGATTGAGGAGTCAATGGATGAGGGACCAATCTACATTTTCACTGACTACCTGTCTTGTATGCATACCAGCCCAGCCACTGGCTTCTTTTCTTTTTATTTCATCCCGGGAGAGCACACACCAACTGCTGAAACTTCCTTAGCCTGACGAAAGGTTTTTGAACCCCGAAAGCTTGCTTAATAACTATTCTCCAACCATTTGGGTTGGTCTAATAAAAGATATCAGATTCACCCAAGGAACCTTGTCTGCCTATATCCTTAGACCAACACGGCTACAACCTACACCCCTGCAAAATTTTAGAAAGTTTTAAGACTGATAATTGGGTTATATGTCAACTATATAGCCAGCTGATATATCTACCACAAGTCTAATGATGCAGAGGAAAGATACATCATAAAAATATTAATATCTCCTAAAAAATAACTGGTTTTAAAAATAAAAATAAATCAACGTGCAAGTTCCTAAGTTCAGGAAAAAATTGGTGAGAAATTCACCTTCTGGGAGCAGGAGGTGGAGACATTTGTAACTGCTTCTCAATGCAGATCAATCTTCCACCTTTTGCTCCTGTCAAATTGTTGCCTTTTGCTTTATTCTTGGAATGCAAATTTTTATGACCAATCCCCTCTCCCTCCCACCCCCGCCCTGAATCATTCTCCTTCTTAAATAGCAAAACAGTATATGGGATGATGGCCCTGTCGAGACATCTGTTGTTTGTCTTATCACCCTGCTTTATTCATGATGCATTTTCTAGCCTTTTATAGCAAAAAGTAGACAAGTAGGCAAAAATAAGCTTGTACTAGAAATATTGACATTTACAGCATTTTGGGTTTCAACACCAAAACCTTAACAGAAGTGGTATGTTTTTTAATTAGAAGTAGCTTCTAATAATTCATCAAATTATTTTAATTGCAAAAAAACCCCATTTCAATTCATTTTATGATTATTTCCCCTGGAAAACAGTTTCTAGAATATATAACACTTCATATTTTTGGTACCA